TTGTTTATTAGGTCGGTTTATTTTTTTAAAGCTCTGACGTCATAGATTCACATGGAAAAGAGAATCCATCTTTCTCTACACACTGCATACACACTTCTGTGTTCTCTTGTTGGTGAGGTCTATTCATGGTTTGGTTAATTTACCCAATGGAACCTTCACAAATAAAATAACAAAGCACACCTATGGGGACAGATAGTAGAGAAAGCTGGCAAGTTCCCTGCTTCAGCTTTGTTTTTGTGAGGAGCTAGGATAAAAATCCTTTCCAGAGAATTCATGGCTTTTGGCTGGTCCTTTTGGGCAGATGGTCTGAATCTACACTATTAGGTTGGTTCTACAAACGTCAGGCCAACAATGAATTAAAACTGGACCTAAGTGCTCAACTTCTTTGGTCATCAGAGAAATACAAACTAAAACCACATTGAGATACCACTACACACTCCCCAGAGTAAATTAAATATAAAAAGATACAAAGTACCAAGTGTTAGTGAGAATGGGAGCACCTAGGGCCTTTTTTGCTGGGAAATGGTTTAGCACTAGCGACTAAAGTTCAACTTATACAGATTCTACTTCTAGGTATATGGTCAACAGAAATGTGTACATATGATTATCAAAAGACGTGTGCTGGAACATGCATAGTAGCACTTTTTGTGATACCCCCCAACTAGAATGCCCATCAGCAGTAGAATAGTACAACAGAAATATCCACATCAATGAAAATGAACTGATGATTGCTACATGCAATAGCATGGTGATACTTATAAACATAACACTGAGTGATTGGAAAAAAAAAAAGACAAGCACAAAAGAGTATGTACTATCTGCTTTTTTTTAAAAAAAAAAAAAAAAAAAAAGTTAGTCTATGCTCTTGGAAGTCAGAGTGATGGTTACCTTTGGAGTCCCCATCCCACTGCCATGGAGCCAATCCCAACTCATAGCAACCCTATAAGATAGAGAACTGCCGCATAGGGGCAGAAATCTTAATGGAAGCAGACTGCCTCATCTTTCTCGCTTGGAGCAGTTTATGAATTTCAATGCTGACTTTTTGGTTAGTGGCCAAATGCTTTAACCACTGTGCCACCAAGTCTCCTTTATCTTTGGAGAAAACCAAAACCCAAACTCACTGCTGTCCAGTCGGATCTGACTCATAGCGATCCCTCCTTGGGGTTCTGAGGCTGTATCTCTATGGAAGTGGATTGCCCAACCTTCCTTCTGAGGAGTGTCTTTGGAGAGGGGCTGGGAAATGACTAGAAGAGGGCCTGCAGGGAGAGGACTTCTAAGATTTTGCCGTTGTTATGTTTCTTGTGATGGGTGCTGATTACATGAATTTGTTTAGCTTGCAGAAATTTATCAAGCTGTACACTTAGGATAAAAAGAAAGGAAAAAAAAAAAAAACCTCACCGCTGTCAAGTTGGATCCGATTCACAGCTACCCCTCCTTGGGTTTCTGAGGTGGTATCTCTAGGGAAGCAGATTGCCCAGTCTTCCTTCTGAAGAGTGGCTGGTGGGATATGTGCATTTTTTTTAACATGTGCCTGTTAAATGCATTTAACAAAATTAAAGAGTGGAATCAAAGACTGTGAGATAGATTCTATAGTAATCTTGCCAAACAAGCTTAACATTTGGAATTTTATGATTTTACTGCTTTCACTGCATAAAAAGTAATTCAAACAAATAAACAAGACCATTAAAATAATATGAAAATCAATTCAACAGAAATAAAGGTTTGCCATATTTAACAAAATAAGTAAATTCCAGGCACTTGGAAGAGGCAAACACAAATTCTCCCTTTAGGAAAGTAGCCTAAATCCAGCCCTCAAAGATTCTCCACAGATAGAAATTTAACAAATATAAGCTCATTAAAACATACACACAACCACATAGAACAAGTCACTATATATGAGATTCAGCAGAAGTAAGAAACAATAAAATCAGACTCAGAAAAGCTTGAAATAAGTGAAACAAGTGTGTTTAATATGTTTAAAAAATAAAAGAAAGAATTTGAACACACAGTAATGAGAAAGAAACTATGAAAAATGACAAGCATATTGTTACAAAGAATAAAATTTCTAGAGAAAAAAAAAATACAGTTTAAATCTAAAAGTCCACAGAAGGATAAATCAGATGATTAGAAATAGCTGAAGAGAGAATTAGTGGATTGCAAGACAGTTCTAAAGAAATAATACAAAATCATCAGAGTGTTAAAGAGATGAGAAAATATCAAAGGGAGGTTAAGGGACATGGAGGATAAAGTGAAATGGTTGGCATATGTGTAATTGAAATTCCGTAAAGATAGAAGAGAAAGAATGAGGAAGAGGCAATACTGAAAAAGGTAATGGTGAGGACTTTCTAGAACTGACAAAAGATATGGAATCCTCAGATTTACGAAGCCCATTGAATATCAACTAGGATTTAAAACAAACTAATAAAAATGGAAATCTATTCTTAGACATATTGCAATCAAACTGCAGATCACCAAAGGTAAGAAAAAAATCTTAGATGGGATTATCTACTAGGGATGCATTTTAGACTGATAGTAGAGTTCTCAACAGATATAATAGAAAGTAGGAGACATTGACCTTGGTGTCATATGAGCAATGTCATTGTACAAATTATGTGCAAAGTGCCTCTGGTTGGGTTCTGTAATACACTCTGGCTACATGTCCCAAATATGCTGAAAGAAAATATATGTCATCCTATAATTGTATACCCAAGAAAACTAAAATTTAAGAACCAGAGCAAACACAAAGGCATTTTCAGATAAATTAATACTGAGATAATTTGTCCCTAAAAACTTCATAAAGAGTCTTCCAGAGAATATAGTTGAAGGGGGGAAATTATACAAGAACAAAGGTCTGAAATACATGAAGGACTTAATAATCCACTGCGATTGGGACTCTGGGGGACACACAGCATCACGTTCATCGCTAGGCTGTGCATCTTGGGGAGAACCCCCGAACCATGAGCATGTCCTGCCTGGGGACCAGGACCAAGCGAGCAGGGGCATGGCCAATGGGTACCCCTTTCTCCCACGGCCATGTTACTTCCTATATGCACGTTTTTCCTCTCAAAAATAATAGATAGGATGAAAAAGCAATTCAAGGAAGATTTATAAAGTTCCAAAGTTCTCTATCTAAAATCTCTTCCTGTCTTGACTGGAACAAACAGAAGAGCAAATGGTTATGACAAAGCAGATACTAGGTCTCTTCTCTGTTGGGCAATGGAGGCGGTACAGACTTGTGGTTAGTGCGTGGGCTCTAGAGACAGTTTGGATGTTTTTCAAAAGCCCTCAAGGGAACTATGACCTGTGTGTTCCAGTTCTCACATATGTAAGTTAGTACCCACTTCATAAAGTTCTTGTGAGGATTAAATGAGATCACACATAAAATGGAGGGCATAGCACATGGTAACCTTTGAGTCTGTGTTAGCTGATACTCATTTAAGGACATACACTGGTAGTCGCAACTGTCCTTGGTGCTGTCCCCTTTATTGCCTTAAAAAACCAAAAACAAAACCCACTGCTGTAGAGTCGTACCTGACTCATAGTGATCCCTCCTTGGGTTTCCGAGGCAGTATCACTACGGAGGTAGATTGCCCAACCTTTTTTCCGAGGAGTGGCTGGTGGGTTTGAACCGCCAGCCTTCTGGTTAGCGGTCAAATGCCTTAGGCACTACACTAAGGAAAGCATATTTGGG